ATAAAAAATGACCGCGTCCCCAAATGTTAAATAATCAACTAATTTGTAGAAAGATTACTCTATGCATTCAAAATATAAGAAAGATTTTCCCTAGTTATGCGCGTATTAAAGGAATTCATTTCGTAAAGAAAATCAAGCGACACGCTGCATGCAAAATTAAACGGCCTTCCCTTATTATTAGCTCAGCATATACTTTCCCGTATACAACTTGCATACACACGTCGTAAACATGCAATGTGCATACGTACACGCATGGCACGCGGGCCGCGCTGCTTCTATCGCGATTTTAGTAACCTTATTTCATAATTCATCAACGTTTAAACGTGATAATATGTCAGGATCATGACGATGACGGTGACAATAATGATGTTTTATATTCACTATCGAAATTACCGTTGTCGGCCACGTCGATGATGGAAGTAACGCTCATTTCAAATGAAAGCATCATTCTGTCGACTGGTAGGCATGTGAAAGGGAACGAGAGAGAGAAATGGGGGAAAGGGATGGAGAGAGCTGCAATAATAAATGGCGCTCCATTAGTCCCACTTTATTGAAAACCGTGGGCCACGTTTTAACCACCAGACGGTGGGCGAGCCATGACGCGTGACGTCATCATCGGTGATCCTTTAATGCCTGGCATCTTTTTCATGCTGCGCCTTTTCTGCATTCACCCGGGCCATATTTCAACAGACCTTCTCCCTACGAAATCGGATCTTGCCAACTATTTACTACCGGATAATATCGAATTCGATGGATTTTGTGAAATTTCGTTGAAAGCAAACCGATTCCAAAACCACTTTTGCGTAAGATCCCCTTTTGGTAAAATTACGTGATATTTGATCTTTTTTGATTCACGGGAAAGATTTCAGTCTTTTTAATCCTTTTGAGCTGTATGAATGCGATGCTCGCTGAAAAATTCAGCAGACAAGAAAAATGCATGGATAATTTAATCAACTAAGAAACCTGCAGCGTGGATGAAAAGAACTGTGTCAAGCAAGACGTTTCATGAAATTCTGCTTTAACAATATTTATCAATAGCAAAAAAACCTTTCTTATCATCAGAAAAAAGATGTTCCAGTATCGGAATATTCATTAAAATTGTTAGTACGTAACAAGAATTTTAATTGTGAGTTTATAAATATTTGTCACAACATCCTATACACAGAACATTAGCACATACATATTACATATATTGCCTATTATCATACATTACATCTATTATCATACATATTACACTATCTTTAAAAAAACAAATATTTTTGACACAAAATAGTTTATACCGTAAGCCGTAACACATGTAATATCTATTAATATATTCGATATATTACTGAATGAAAAGCACAAGCATAATATTTTCATATATAAAGTTTCAAATTAAAGGCGAATAATCTCAATTTTATTCAGAGCTAAATCTTAAATCTCAAGAGATGTCAAAAGGAAGAACTTAGTTGTTGATACGGGACGATTGTATGGGAATCTCGGACATCTGTAGGCAAGATAAACTTTCATCAATTTCCTGTTGATATCCTAATAGCGCCAAGATCCTGGCGCGATGCGACGGTGTCGACTTGAGTTGATCGGGAAGGAAGAAGATGATGAGGATCGGACTAATTCACGAGAATGGACCGCTGTGTGTGCCCACCGGAACCTCCAACCGGCAAGGATAGACTATCAAACCGATTGTAATCAGACCACCCTCCGTCTCCGACAGAGAAGAGAAGTCCACTTCTATTTTACCCTTCTATACTTTCCAGTGATAGCATACTCAGTTCGGAGTAACTGATGCCGCTGGTAGAGACCTTCCGGCGGTAACTCGATTTTCGACTACTCGTCTTGATCTATTCCTACATATCAGCGTGAATGAAACCGTATCGAGTCGGAGTGAGGAGATGTGGATAGGAGAAAGGTGAAACGAGAGACCAGAGAAGAGAGGAGCATATTTTATCGAGCCGATGCGAGGCTGTACCGCAACTCCACGACATGCACTCGACCGCACGACTGTATGCGAATCGATAATTTATCTCCCCTCCCCCTCCCCCCCAAAGCTTACTTCGCACACCGTTTCGTTGCACTCATCCGACCGACTCTAAACGTGGAATCGCACAGATTTTCGCGGGAGAAAAAAAACCGGCGTGTGTGATTAACGGAGATTACTGGCGCTTAATTCGATAAGGTGATCAAATTAATTTATTTAGAATAAATGAAGCATATCTTAAAAAATGCACAATAAAGCGACACAATTAAATGAAATAACTTATCAAATTAGCATTGTAACAAATCGGCAAATTTACCACGTCTTTCGTTAGATAACGTAAATATTATTTATTTCTATTCGATAAAATATCGTTACTTCACATATTAAAACTACTACGATGTCCAAAGCGATCATTACATTATCAATCGTATCTCAATTAGCGAAGAATGCAAACGCGTTTAATACAAACGCATCCCTGTATCAGAACACTATAATCCAACCTTATAGAATAACATTAATGGACGTCATGTCGTTATACGAGAGACTGGCTTCGAAAATTCGATGCAACACTTCACAAATAATAAATGTTTGCGTAATATTATTTAACATAACATTATTCTGTAATCAGCCATCATTACAAATTCTCATTTTCTTCCTTCAATGAATAACGGTATTGTTCCATGCGATTACCAGAGAGTTTTAACACATAAAAACCATGTATAATAATTTATAATTAATCGTTATATTTCCGCAAATTCACGGGTTCTGTTCTTCGGGATTGCAATATAGTCGATCGATACAAAATGGTCGTGATTAATAATCACTTATTAATAATTATCCTCTGTTTTACGTGTTTCACGATCTGTAACATTTGTTTAAAAACAGATACAGTTAGTAATTATTTATCATCGCTAACCGGTCTGTATTCATGTGAGAAACGATTTAATTATACGAATGTGTCTTCATCAACCTCTATTCTCCGACGAGTTATTTTGAAATGTTCATCTTAGAGGTTGCATCTTATGTATTATGAAAGACCTTTGATTGCATTGAATAGCATTTTCGCGCTAAGAGTAATTTCCCGCGATCCTTTATTTTCTTTGTATTGTGCCAGATATTTTAAACGGAATCATGACACCGTTAGCGAAGGAAAGTGCGCATTAACAATTGAATTAAGTGATATTCTCAGAACAATTAAACGTGTTATTTATTCAGTGTTTATTGCGATTATAAATATAAATCTTGCAGATAATAGCTCACGTTAGAAAGACAATATAGTCGAACGGACAACATAAATTACATTAAATTTGGCAATTAATGACTTAATTTTGTTAAAAATTGCATCGCGATCTTCTGAACGGTTCTCTCTTTTGCTTTTACGTATAGATAAATATAATAATTTTCAAATGTAAATGTCAAAAACACATTAATTACTCCTTTATCACGTTACTGAATTTTTATCTACATTTTTGGACTATTGATAGCGGAGCTTAATCACAGAGATATATGTTTTGAACCATGTATAACGAAATGAATATTTCATATCTAGCTTTGCGTCCATTAAAGCTCACGGCACACTCGTTGCAAAAATTAATAATGTTGAATGTAATCATTATTATTTTCGATCGCAATTCTCTTAGCAACGAAATCATGTTTTTTTCCCCATCAAAATGAGGTCTAATCATCTCCTTTTTTTGTTTCAGAACACTATCACATATTTGTTGGGGACCTGAGCCCAGAGATCGAGACACATACCTTAAGGGAAGCGTTCTCAGCCTTCGGAGAGATCTCGTAAGTCCTCTTAATCTTGCTCATTAAAGACGACTTACCGTTCTACTAGAGTTATATGAGCGATAATATAACGTCACCATAAAACGATAACATAATATCACTAACGACCTCTCAAAGATGCAAAGTAATCTAATCTTGGATCTATAAAAATTAATGAGAAATTTACATATTACTCTTTTCTTTTGTTCGTGAACCTAGTTAATAAAACTACATAATTAATTGATTAACAAAATCTCATAAGACACATTGAACGTATAAAGAATATTTAAGAAAACGTATCGGCATTTATGGTAGTAAAGAGTAGAAAATAGTATATTTGAACACATCATCAAATATTTTAGCCCAAAAATATTTAACATTCTTTGAATTTTTTTCTTTCTTGTGTACCGTAAAAATATCAGTTAAAAAATACTGTAAATCTTTTACGTTGTATATTTAAGTTGTTCAAATATGTCTCATGTGTTGAAACAACTCTCTTCATCCTACTGAAATATATAAACGTCATAAGTGCAAAAACAATATTTATGTAGAAGACTCACGCGCGAGTCTTCGCGACACACTGTCGCGAAGTCGCAAATATTCACAATCTTAACGCTTCTGTGGAAATGCAATTTATAAAAACGCAGTACTAACCAACGGCTTTACTGAAGAAAAGCCACCGCGCTGGAAAACGTCAGTGCCGACAATAAATAGACATAATCAAATCCCTAGAAGTTGCAATAGAAGGAAATCCGGAATATTTCGTTTTATCAACCGGCTTCGTAAGTTTATTACACTTTTAACGACCTTCGCCCTCTCGTCCTAACTGAGCTGTTTTACGAGTTTCCATCATCGTCCGACGTTTCACGATGCACCGACGCGAACAATAATAACGCATATCTCTGCGATCGCGCGGCAAGCTACCACGAGTCCTGTGACCTTGCGCTCCGTTAAACTCGCCGGTCGATAGATGCATGACGATAATATCGCAAGCACCGATACCCTTCGAAGTCGGGCTCGAGCTGCGAGCTGCGAGCTGGAGGTGAAGTCGCGTCAATCTCCGCAGTCTTGATCGATTGTATCGGTAAACCAGTAACGCTAAGCCGTGTGTATTTATGCAGCAGAAACCAGCACCGGAGCTGATTTGACCGCGTTCCTACAGATAACATTTAAAGAACATAATTAATCCTCCGTGAGTTCAGCGCAATTGATTGATCACGGATGGAATACTCGAATGCTTGCTTTTTGTTAAAATATTGTCAACAATTAACAATTTGAAATAATAATTGAACATGAAAGTCTAAATATTATAATTGTTCTATTTTTGACATATTTAAAACTTTTAATATTATTATTTTTATTATATATTAAATAGACACAACTAAAAAAATACTGCTTGTAGGTATAATTTAACGTGATCATGCTCTCACATACCTATACACAAATAGCCAGATAATGAAAATCACCTTCACTTGTAAAAGTAAATTATCATACACCAAGGATTCGTGGTAGTCTAAGAATAGGCATAATCAGTGGCAGAACTTCGATTTCGCAAGGAAATTACTTGAGCAAAACAAAAGGAACATATTGAGCTTGCATTTTGCGAGCATGCGAAGTGTCAGTAAGCCCGCGCTCTACATCGATTGTATCTGCAAACCAGTACGTTACGCCCTGTGATTTTACGTGACGAAAGTCAGGGACAGTATCGCGATTTCGCGCCACGATATACATCGTAAAAGAAATGGACGAAATAAATGGAGTCGCAACTACTTGATGTTATTACTTTGTCCGAACGTTTGCATTCGCATTAATATTCTTTGAACGAATATTTGTGGTTAATAACAACTTATCATCTCTCGGGCTTTATCATCTCCCTCTATATCTCACGTGAATTAAGAATCTCAATCCGTAAAAATCGTAAAGGTAGAACCGCTTCTTCTGAAGCATAGATCTTCGTATCCGTTTTCTCGTGCGGCAAGAAATCTCCATTCGGATTTCGCATCCTGATTTATTCTTGGCTCATGCAGATGCACCCACTTCTGCGCCCACAAAACTTCGCGAGTATTTGCTCGATAGAGGAAAAAAGGGGAATCGCCGAGCGAGGTATCGAAATTTCAGATTCCAATCTAAACTCGGCCTTCGAACGACAACCATGTTCGGGTAGCGAAACAGCTGGAAGTAGGTACAGTTTGCGCCGTTTGGCACAAGAAGACGGCAGAAAAATGGGCCCTCTCTCTCCCCTCTGGAAAAATCGATTCAAACTCGCTCCACGAGTACCTAAGCCGCGCTTTAAAAAGCTAGTGAAAAATTGCCAGCGGTTTTCCTCTTTTATTTTGTTTTCCCCCAGCCCCTTCCTTTTTCTCTCCTCTACCAATGCTCCTCACGCCTCTTCTGTGCTCCCCGTTCAACGCTCCTTTCTCCCGACCCCAGGTACGCTCTTCCTTGCCTCAAATGGTTTATCCCGGAAAGGCCTGCCATGCTTCGTTCCTTACGCGATAAACATTCGTGATTAATTATGTTCTTAGTGCGATACATTTGATCGAGATTGATATTATACCAACGAGAAACTGTTGTGTGCGTAATAGCCAGTATATTAGAAATAACAAAGGCAAGTCTGTTGAAATTTACCCTTTGATACAGCGTCGTTTGACTTCCTACGACCTACAATAATAAATGCAGCTTGGAACAGCGAGTTATCACAAATTTATATCGATATTCTATGCTAAGCAATTTCACGATTCTTATATGTACATGCCGGTCAGCGTATTTCCTTCAAATATGAATAACGCCATGCTGGCGAATATCGCTTGCCAAGCGTGAAACGCGGTTTAGCGCTTCTGCTTTTCGGGCAAACCTTTATGAATATTGCACCATAAATTTTAGTTTTATATATATATATATATGTATATAATATGTACGTGATATATATATATATATATATATTTTATACATGCTGGTGACCCATCATCGCGAAATATCATCATGAAATACGTGATCGTTTTCTTTATGTTCTTGCATAAACTGGCAACGTGAGAAGATTACTTATATCCTTTCCGAAAATACACTGTATCATATCATTCCTTAATTATAATAAGTTTTTGCATGAAAAGTAATATAATCCTTATATATATTTTTTTTAAATATTTAAATAAAGTATTTTGTATTTTACAGAGCGTAACTTAAATCATTCAGCAACCTGAGTAGATTTTTATAAATAACTAATTTTATTTAATTATTATCATTGTCTCTTGCGAAATATATTATATATCTATTCAAAAATTTCTAAAATTAAAATATTGATAGTCAAAATATGTTAAAACAGAAAAAAATGTTTTGTTAAAAGAAGAAAATGAGATTCATGAGAAAAATAGTTTTAAAAAACTCAAATTGTAGAATACAATTTTCCAAGGCTTAAATACATCTATAAAATATTCTTTCATATTAAATATACAAAGCATAATTATATTTAACAATGGAATTTAATTACAAATTGCTGATGCGCCCGCTATCAATTAGAAATTTTAACAATGCAACTTGAAATTTTAACCACGTAAATTAATTATCGGTCATAATTCGCAAACGATGCAGCATCGAAACATAAATCGAAGCTTTTATCAATGTCACAATTACTGATAGTGCAGAGTAAAATGGGAATACTTTGAAAGACATATTAAAATGTGCTTAATGATGATGACTTTAACTCTTTTGTTCATTTAATCGTTTGATGCTTCCATTATATTAATATTGCATTACGCGATAAAGAGTAATCATTGTTCTCTCTCTTTCTCTCTCTTTCTCTCTCTCTCTCTCTCTCTCTCTCTCTCTCTCTCTCTCTCTTTTTCTCTATAAGAGTATGTATCGAAACTTAGAGATAGAATAGCTACTACAATGCGCGACTGCAATGACTACAATAGGAAAGGGATTTCTAGAATAGTCCATTCACGTGAGTGCGACAACTTGCTTCAACCTATGTCCACATTTGCATACGAGCACATTGTACTTGCACTTTGATTACTCAGATTCGAAGTAACCGCCAGCATCAAATAGGTTCGAGTAATACAAATTGAGTGACTTTAACATATTTTATACACTTTATATATAAATCACTGTACGAGTATGTAATTATCATTATTAATAATTCTTTATTATCAATAAGTATGAAATGAGAAGATACGAAAAATTAAAATAAAAGAGAGAAACATTTTATATATGCGCTAAGAAATTTTAAAAGTTAATATTAAATTCTTCTTATAGATACTCCAATAGCTGGATGTGTCAAGTTAAAAAAAAAGTTGCAATACAAAACTGATAATCAAATCTCTTTGTTATTCAATTAGTGCTATATGTTGTATGAAAAAATTAATAACAAATCAAGGAGACGTTTTATGCAGGAATACAATACAACGCATATTAGTTACTCAAAGAAGCAATTCATGCATGTTGCTCTCAAGATCGCCGCTTATGATCGCCCGTTTTGGGCATTTCAGTACAGCGTTAGGCCGTTAGTGTCACAGCTTGATCTCAGCGGAGAACCAAAGCTCGCTTTCAGGTTTAAATGGTGGTTAAGTAAGCTGCACGGTCGCCTCGCTCTTCTCGGTTGCCCTTTGCCGATATACCAACCATCTAATATACACATTCACGCCGGGACAGGCGCGCTGCCATTAAACGTGCCCGCACACTTGCGCATGCAAACGTTACTAACACATTTCCAGAGTCCAGCGCGCATATATCCTAACTTATGATACACGAAGGCGTCGTTATAACCGAGTCTCCCTTACGCTTTCGTATCACTTCTCCGCCACCTCCTTCGTCCTACCATTTCGCACGTCCCACCACCGCCATCCAGTTTTAATCCATAGATCTAGGGAACGGAGAGAGAGAGAGCGCGGAAGGAACTACCGGGCGCCGTCGAGACCGTCGGCGCAGTCTGCTTGGCAAAAGTATAACGAGTAGTAACCCGGCGTGTCCCTGAGCAGCGCCGTGCACATTGCCGTATTCGAGATTTCGTTATTAATATTTAA